GGGGGAGGAGTTAGATAGGAGCAGAGAGGGGAGTGGGGGGGGTAATGAGATGGAAATGGACAATGATGGGGGGTGGGGTTGCAAAGAGAGGTGGGGGGGATGGAACAAGAGGAACCAGACAGTCCCCACTGTGGACTAGGAGTCTGGAAGTCTGGGGTCTCAGCCCTTGTGCTCTGTGGCCTGGGGTGGTGGGTTGGTCATGGCCTTCCCTGAACGTCTGTGAAACACAGGGGTTTAGGTGAGGCCCCCCAAGTTCCCCTACGGCATCGCCTTAGGCTGTGGACAGGGATTCTATAGGATGTGTCTCTGCATTTCTAAAGAAGAGTCCATAGACAGTTGTTGAATGAATGCGTGATGAATCACATACCTTCAGGCGGCTTCCCTTCGCATCTAAGATAAAGTCCCGTCTCCTCACCATGGTGGAAAACCCGTCCTGATCTTTCTCCCTGGACTCCAGCAGCCCTCTCCCCTTGGCCGCTGGGATCAGCCTCACTGTGCTCCTTGCTGTCCCTTAAACAAGCAAAGCTCATCCTCCACCCCCTCCCGCGGGGAAGCTCAGGGTCTGTGCACTTGCTGTTCCTTCTGCCTGCCTGGCCCTTTTCACCCTCCAGGTTCTGTGTCACCTCCTCAAAAAGTCCTTTGCCGAACTCCTTTTCTTCCCCAGAGACAGGGTCTTACTCTGTACCCCCAGGGTCTTACTCTGCACCATGGCACAATCATGGCTCAATGCAGCCTCCCAGACTCCTGGGCTCTGACAGTCCTCCCACCTCAGCCTCCCAAGTAGCTGGGTCCAAAGGCATGCACCACCACACCTAAGTTTTTTGTTTTTGAGGAAATGGTCTTGCTGTGTTGCCCAGGCTGGGCTCAAATTCCTGGACTCAAACGATACTCCCACCTTGGCCTCCCAAAGTGCTGGGGTTATAGGCGGTAGCCACTGTGCTCTGCCACACCTCTTTAACTGAAGTGGCCAGAGTAATAGTCTTGTTCTTTTATCTTTATCTTAATTGCTTTTCTTCTCTTTTTTTTTTTTTTTTTTTTTGAGAGGGAGTCTCACTCTGTCTATAGCCCAGGCTGGAGTGTAATGGCATGATCTTGGCTCACTGCAACCTCTACCTCCCTGGTTCAAGTGATTCTCCTGCCTCAGCCTCCTGAGTAGCTGGGACTACAGGCCTGCACCACCACGCCCGGCTAATTTTTGTACTTTTAGTAGAGATGGGGTTTCACCATGTTGACCAGGCTGGTCTCGAACTCCTGACCTCAAGTGATCCACTCTCCTCGGCCTCCCAAAGTGCTGGGATTACAGACGTGAGCCACCCCACCCAGCCTTAATTGTTTATTTTCTGCTTCTTCCTATGAGGGGCTGGAAACTTTTCCTATAAAAGGCCACATAGTAAATCTCTTTGGCATGGGGGCTATATAGTCTCTGTCCCAATTATTCCACTCTGCTGTCGTAGCTTCACATGGTTGTGTTCCAATAAAGCTTTATTTACAAAAACAGATGGCTGAAAGATCAGGCCCTCAGGCTGGAGTTAGTTTGCTGACCCCTTACAATCCAGAGATTGTAAACTGTGATGGCAGATTCATGCTTTGTGTAATCCCAAATCTGTAGTGCCTGCAACTGTGTTCTCAAGAATCAGTTGTGGCCATGGGTGGTGGCTCACACCTGTAATCTTAGCCCTTTGGGAGGCCAAGGCAGGAGGATTGCTTGAGCCCAGGAGTTCAAGACCAACCTGGCCAACATAGCGAGACCCCACTGCTTGAATCCAGGAGGCGGAGGTTGCAGTGAGCCGAGATTGCACCACTGCACTCCAGCCTGGGTGACAGAGCAAGACATGCTCAAAAAAAAAAAAAAAAAAGAATCAGTTGCTGAAACAGTGAATGAATGGATTGAATACACGAATGAAAGGAGCTAGGAGTTGGCTCGAGTTGTTATGAGGATTAAATAATATATGTTAAATTCCTAGCATGTGGTGATGCTAGGAACTTGGCGATGTTTGGTGAATGATTCCTCTACTAAGTAGCACCACCCTCTATCCCCCTCACTTCTGCATGGCCGGCAGCCCCCAGCCTATCCCTTCTGATCCCTGACCCCTGACTCTCTCTGCCTTGTCCCTTCCTCTCCATCCTCACAGCCCTGACCCCAGCTCAGGCTTCCACCTGTCACCTCAGCCTCCTCTCCAGCCTCCTGACTTCCAGCCTCCCACCTCCAGTCCGTCCTCACAAGACCCCAGAGCTGCCCCTTCCAGCTCACCTGCCTCCTCCCCAGGCCCCTAGACAAGGCTGCAGCGTCTCAACCTGGCACCTGCCTCATCTCTACCTGAGAATCCTCCCGCCAGGGTCTAGTCTCCTAGGTTCTGTCCTGCAGTTCCCTCCAACCATTCCTGTCGACGGGATTGCTTCCTCTGCATGGCCAGAACTCCTGCTCAACCTTAAGGCTCCATTGCAGATACCCAGTCTTCCCTGATGCCCAGCCCCACCCCCCGGGAGTTTCTAGTGTTCCTGTTACTGTCTGTGCTCCCTCCATTTTAGCACATATCGCCTCAAACCGTGACTTTCTAGGTCTGTGTCTGCCTCCTGCTCCAAAGCGGAAGCTCCCGGGGGCATGGATTTTGTTCATGGTTGAACTCCCCATGCCCAGTACCTAGGACGCGTGGGTGCTGTCTGAGCGCTGGCCGAATTCACAGAGGCATGGACGGATGGCTAAGCCTTTCTCTCCCCATTCTTACCCAGAAGTGTTCTGGGTATGCCCCCCACCCCCCGTTTTCCTGATTGAATTAAAAAAAAAAAACAAACCCTGGGGCCAAGGAGGGAGGCAGAGATGGTGATGGGGGTGAGGAGGGGTCAGTCGTGAGGGCAGGCGCGGTGTGGGAGGCAGGGTTGGGTTAGTTCGGGGGTTAGTGAGGAGCAGGGTGAGTCCTGGGTAGGTGGGTGTGGGGTCAGTGTCAGGAGCTGGGGGTTAACTGGGTGCAGCTGCTTGCAGTGAGGGGCCGGAGTCTCGGTCAGTGGGGGCTGCATGTGCTCAGAGGGGTTAGTCGGGCAGGAGTGGGGAGTCTGGGGGTCGGGGGCATCAGAGGGTGGGGGTTACTTACCCCGGGGGGAGGGGGTTCGTCCACTAGGGGGATATCCAGGCCGCGGCGTTGGCGTTGAGGTCGGGCAAGAAGCTTGGGGGGCCTGGCTTACGCCAGTCTTGGGGGGGCAGTGGGGGAGCACCAGTGGCTGGGGGTAGGGGAGAGGCCAGAGGGTTGGGGGGATGGACATGGAATAGACAGGTGAAGGGTCAGTGGTGAAGAAACTTGGGGCGGGGGGTACAGGGAAGATCTGGGATGGAGGCGGTTTGGGGTCCAGGGAAGGGGGAAGGGAAGTCCAGCGCCTCCTCCCCCATCCCCCGCTCCTCCCTCCCCTGGGCAGGGGAGAGAGAGGGAGGGTCCCCGGGGCCAGTGGGGGGACACTCACCTTTTCGGATGGAGCCATCAGGGGAAGGGGCGTAGTCGGTGAGGAGGAAGCAGGCTCGATCCCGGCTGTAGCGGCCACGGCTTCCCGGAGTGATGGGGCTCCTGTCTTCCGGGGACATGGCGGGCTGGTCAATGGCTGGGCAGTCCTCGTGGGCAAGTGCAGCTGCTGCCGGATCCCCATTGGGGCGAGGATCTGCATGCCGAGGGGGTCAGACAGAAACAAAGGAGAGTGTGAGGTGCGGTGGACACGTGGTGGGGCGAGATGTCTGCGCGGAGCAGATGCTGGGAGCGCCGGAGCATGTTTGGCACTGGAAGTGGAGATTCAAGGGCAGGGTGATGGGAAGGAGTGGCCAGGAGGGTGGCAGGGGGCACAGCTGGGAGAGGGTGTCACGGGGGTGTGGCTGGGGCGTGATCATAGGGGAGGGTGTTGAGTGCTGGGAAGGGCAACTGCAGTGGGGAAGGGTGGTCTGGACAGGGAGCTGGACAGATTCTGGTGGTGCAGGGAGGTGCTGAGAGCTGGGGTGTGGTGGTGGTGCCAGATGTGGGGTGCCAGGAAGGGCAGGACTGGGGTGGGGTGCTGTTTAAAGATATGGTCTGGAGCTGGGCACAGTGACTCATACCTATAATCCCAGCACTTTGTGAGGCTGAGGCGGGAGAATTGCTTGAGGCCATGAGTTTGAGACCAGCCCTGGTAACATAGCAAAACCCCAACTCTACAAAAAATAGAAAAATTAGCTGGGTATAGTAGTACACGCCTATAGTCCCAGCTACTCTGGAGGTTGAGGCAGGAGGATCACTGGAACCTGGGAGGCGGAGCCTGCCGTGAGCCATGATAGTTTCACTGCGTCAGCCTGGGTGATAGATTGAGACCCTGTCTCCAAAAAAGATAAAAGATGCCAGGCGTGGTGGCATCATCTGTAATCCTAGCACTTTGGGAGGCCGAGGTGGGTAGATCACTTAAGGCCATCCTGGCCAACATGGTGAAACCCCGTCTCTATTAAAAATACAAAAATTAGCTGGGCACAGTGGTGGGCGCCTGTATTCCCAGCTACTCTGGAGGCTGAGGTAGGTGAATCACTTGAACCCGGGAGGCGGAGGTTGCAGTGAGCCACGATGTTGCCACTGTACTCCAGCCTAGGAGACAGAGTGAGACCTCGTCTTGGAAGAAGAAAAAAAGAAAAAGAGATGGTTGTGGATGAAGCAAGCTTGGTGTTAGGGAGATGAGGCAGTGCTGAGGGATGGTTGGCTGGAGTGAATTTCGGGGGCTTGGCTGGGGTAGGGGTAGGGGTGGAGGGATGACTGGAGAGGATGTGGCAGGCTAGGAACTGGCTGTTTAGGGAGCAGTGCTGGGCTCTGGGAAGGGCACCAAGGGGAAGGGCTGGGGAAGGTGAGAGATGGGAGGTGGGACGTGGGGGTCCCCTAGGCTCTGACTCCGGCTATTTTTAATTGGTGTGAAACTGGGTCAGCGGCTGAGGGAGCAAGATGGGGGCCAGGTGGCCCAGCTCCCTTTCTTGACCTACTTAAGGCGGGGCGATGCAGCGGGAGCCGCCAGCCTCTCCTTCCTCCCAAACTCCCAAGCCACTGCCTCTGAGGCATAGACACCCCCTGAGGGAGGAACACACACAGAATCACAGGGAACTTTCTTCTCCCTCATCTCTCTCGCTCGTCTCTTCCTCTGAGCAGCACCTCTCTGGATCGCTCTCCGGGACTCTCCTAGGCTGCCAGCAGCAAAGCCGACTGACCAGGTCCTGGTTTCCATTCTGCCCTGGGGGCTGTGCCCTGGCCTGACTCTCTGTTTTGAAGTCTGTCCGCCTCTTGAGCTCGCTGTCATTAGAACCCAAACTCTGCCGCTGACCGCCCCCACCTCCGCCCAAAATCTACATCCCATCTCTTTCTCTGGTCTCCATGACAATCTCTCGGTTTCTGACTCTCCGTCTCAAACCATATCAGCTTCAGTCTCTCTTCCCTCAGGGCTGTCTCCCGGATGCTCAGATGCTGCCACCATCCCTGGGGTTCTGCCTTGGGTCTGCCTGTGGTTCACGTGAGACCCTCTCTCTGTACAGCGGAGAGTACACTCTGACACTGCCTCTGCCTCGCCAGCCCCTCTGAATACCTTGCAAATCTATTTCTCCTCAAAACTCTTTCACACGAAACCTATGTCTCTGTGTGATTATCTGTGCCTCCTTTGGCCTGAGCTCCTGCTGTTGGCTTTTTTCTCCCTCACCTCTTTGACGCCAACCACCCCAGGCTCTCTGAACCCTGGCAGCTACCTCCCCAGTCCTCCCCGGGTCTCCACCTGTGTCCCCGACCCCTGACGCCCAGGCTCACCTGCCCGGTTGATCTCAATCACCTCCTCCTGAGCCAACGGGCAAGGCTCGCCGGGGGCCGGCAGAGGAGGCAGCCCCATGATCCCCAGCCCACCCGCTCCCCCCCTGAGCAGCCCGGGGTGCGTGTGGGGCCCCGCTGGGTAGGCCCCGGCCACAGTCACCCCCATGGAGGGTGGGGTGATGGGTGGCGGCGGGCTGATGCCCCCGCTGCCGTGGTGCGGGTGGGGCGGGGGTGGCGGGGGTGGGTCAGGCTTGCAGTAGTTAGGCGAGCCTGGTTGCGGGGGCCGGGGGATGTGTTTGTTCTTCTTCTTGGGCAGCTTCTGCTTGGCCATGGCCAGCGAATAGTACATGCCAAAGTTGTTGACAATGACGGGCACGGGCATGGCGATGGTCAGCACCCCCGCCAGGGCACACAGCGCCCCAACCAGCATCCCCGACCATGTCTTGGGGTACATGTCTCCATAGCCCAGGGTCGTCATGGTGACCACGGCCCACCAGAAGCCAATGGGGATGTTCTTGAAGTAGGTGTGGTTGGAGCCCAGGATGTCATCGGGGTCGGCGCCGATGCGCTCAGCGTAGTAAATCATGGTGGCGAAGATGAGCACCCCCAGGGCCAGGAAGATGATGAGCAGCAGGAACTCGTTGGTGCTGGCGCGGAGCGTGTGTCCCAGCACGCGCAGCCCCACGAAGTGCCGGGTCAGCTTGAAGATGCGCAGGATGCGGACGAAGCGGACCACCCGCAGGAAGCCCAGCACGTCTTTGGCGGCCTTGGAGCTGAGGCCCGAGAGGCCCACCTCAAGATAGAAGGGCAGGATGGCCACACAGTCAATGATGTTGAGGCTGCTTTTAAGAAACTCCACCTTGTCTGGGCAGAAGGTGATGCGCATGAGGAACTCGAAGGTGAACCAGACCACGCACACGCCCTCCACGTAGGTCAGGAAGGGCTCCGTCTCCACCTCCACGTTGGTGATGTTCTCCGGAGGCGCCCCGGGGATCGGGGAGGCCTGGGTCACCGTCTTGTTGCTGATATGGATGAAGCCCTCATGGGTTTCCAGGCAGAAGGTGGTGATGGAGATGAGGATGAAGAAGAGGGAGGCGAAGGCCACATACTGCAGGGCAGGGAGGGAGAGAGAGGAAGAGGTGACCTAGGCATCGGGTTGGCCATAACATCCAGAAGACCCTTCCAGTGCCCCCTTCCCCGGCCTCCTGGGCCCAAACTCTGGGCAAAATCCAGGTGTCTCAGCCCTGTGGCTCCATCACTTCCAGGATCCCATTCTCCCCTCTAAAGCTAGCAAAAGGGGAGAGAAAGGAACAGAGGCAGTTGGAGACGAGCTGGCCCCAGCAGACGCAGCAGATGGGCAGCTTCTTTCCTTGGAAACATTTCTGGCCCCTTGCTGTTTCCTAGACCACCTCCCCCCACCCTCCTGTTCCCTGTGTCCTATTTCAAGGCTCCCCAGCAGGGTCCATGGATTCTACTGTAGGACGGGAGCCACAGGGCCTAAGATCACACATCCTGTGTGTCTTGGAGGCTTTAGGGCTCAGCTTGGAGCTGAGCAGAGGGGAACGGGAAAAGGTGGGCAGGGAGGCAGAATCATGAGGTAGTTAAGAGTCAGAGAGCCTGGGTATGAATCTGGCTTTTAACCTATCAAAACTGGGCATGGAGATTGAGCTTTCTGAACCAGAAGTTTGTAGTGAGATTGTTGTGAGGATTAAATTAGATGAGTGTACGAAGGACTTGGCTCCAAACACAGTGCTTGGAGCAGTGCCTGGAACACAGTAAGAAGACCTGAGCTGTTGTTAGGGTATGCAGGCAGCAGTTAGTTGGGGGGCAAGGTCAAGGCCTCACCCAGAGAGGACAGGGCAGGGGTGGTGCCACAGAGGGGAGCTGGGGGTCAGAGCCCTTAAGGGAGGAGGGGTTGAAGGGTTAAGCCTGCAAAAATGGAAGAAGAGATAAAAAAGGAGAATCAGGCAGGGTTTACAGCCCTGCAGAGGAAGGGAGAGCCACTGGCCTGGACATTGTGGGAGAAGGCAGAGCCAGGGCCAAAGAGAAGTTAGGGCATTTGCCAAAGGGGCAGAGAATGAGGCGTGAAGGGTCCTGAGCCATTTCAAGATGGGGGATAACCAGAGTCCTGCCACATAGTGATGTGGGTTTTGATGAAGGCCTAGAAGAGGAGGGAGTGGGGTCAGCATCTCGGAGAAGGAAAGCAATGGGCCAGGCCCCTAGAGATGTCATGGGCTTTATCAGATACGCATAGGGGTGGGAGGGGAGAGGAGTGCATTGGAGAGGGAAGGAAGACAGGTGTTATAGTAAAGAGAGGGTTTTAATCCTCTGGGTAGTGGAGGAGGGAGGGCATGGGGAGTTTTGCTTCTAATCAGGGGCACAGAGCACGGAGAGGCTACTGTCGGACCACAGAGAGGACCTTGGACTTTGGGGTGGGCCAAGGGCCAGCACTGTCCCTCTCTGCACCCCACTTCCTCCACAGGGGTTGGACTCTGGGCTTGACTTCACTGAGGTACAGAGCTGGGAAGTAGGGGGTGGAGAGTTTCAGGGCCACAGAGAGGACCCTGGACCTTGGGGTGGGCTGGGGGCCAGCGAAGATCCTCTCAGCACTCCCCCCACCCCCACCTTCGCTTCTCTGCAGTGGTTTAAGAGGCCAGAGGCCTCCGCAGAGCGCATGCCTCGTTCCTCCCCGCCCCCTCCAAGCCGGGCGCTCGGCGCTAGCTGCAGCACCGCAGTGGGGGCGGGCCGGCCGGGCCGGGGGGCGGGGCGCACGGCGGCCAGTACCGCGGACAGCTCCCCCGCCGCAGTGCGCAGCCGCAGCGGCTCGGGGCCGTCTTAACCCCTTCCGGGCCGGAGCCTAGTATTCAACGCGCAGCCGCAGTGTTGCTGCTTTCCGGCGGGAGGCCGCGGGCCAGGAGTCTAATTAACTCCTTCCCTTCTAGGGCACAGGGAAAGGTGGGCACCCGCCGCAGTGCGCAGCTGCAGAGGCTGGACGGCGTCGGGCTGGTTTAACCCCTTACTCCAGGCTGTGTCAAAAGCAGAAGGGGTAGGAGGGCCTGGAATCTCTGTAAAAAGGAAAGGAGTGATTACGAGGAAGGGGGCGGGGGCAAGGGGCTGTAGGGTTGGACCCTCCACTTTGCTTTGGACTCAGCTCCCAACTCATGCCATCTCACTGGGAGGCTGGAAAGGGCTCGGCACACCGTGGACACCCAAAACACATTTGTGGAGTAAATGAGTATCTCCCGTAGCTGTCCCGAACACCTAGCCTGACCATCACAGAGGAACTCTACATCCCGCCCCTCACCTCAGCACCCTTCAATGGGGTCACAGGAGAGAAGGGCGCCCCAGGCCATGGGGGAAGGAGCCGCTCAGTGTCTTGAGGGGGCATCTAGGGCCATGTTCCTTCCGCACCTCCTCTTCCCCACCTCCCCCCATCCAACCCCAAATCTCGCCAACTCAGCGCTTTCTGGGGACCAAACTTTATGCGGTGGCTCCAGGCGCCCCCCCCTGCCCCGGCGCGAATGCGGCACTGCGGCTCCGCGTCCTTCCAGGCTCAGGACGCGGCACGGTGGGGGGAGGGGGTCAAGACCTGCTCCTCTGGGTGTTTGGGTCCCCAGGAGCCCCGGAGGGGGTCCTGGGATCGCTCTTATTTCCCCCATTTCCAATTGCTCCCATTTTGCACTGCCCCCCTTTTCTACCACATTCTACCTCTGGGGTCCCCTGGACAGGGAGGAAGTTAGTAGGAGGAAGAAGTTCAGGAGAGAACCCAGGGGGAGGGTAGTCATTTAGCCTAGGAAGTATATGGATGCTTGAGGAAAGTTTTCTGGGAGCGATGGAGACAGCTTTAGTGAAAATCTGTAATTTGGAGAGAGAGAAGGCTCTTTGGTTCACTTCGATGGAGGGGGACAGACTGAGGGGCTAGGTTCTGGGTTTTGCACAGGTGGGGTTCGAGAAAGGAAGAGGGCAGGTGGAAGGAATCCCAGGGCAAGGTAGAAACAATTGTAAGCTATTTTGAGATGAAAGTTTTAGGGCTGATGATTTGAGGGGCGTCCCAGGGTTTTAGGTTAGAAAAAGTTCTAGAGCAGCAGGGAAAGTCACTTAGACTAGGAAAGGGGCCATGGGGTCTTTGGATGGGGGGAGTCCCAGGGACAGAGAGTGTACTGTGCAGTTAGAATGATGGAGGGGAGAAGCTGCGAGGATCTATGGAGGAGGAAGAACAATCCTGGAGGACATGTGAGGGTTCTGGAGAGGAAAGGCATATGATGGGGGCATGGGATGCTGCTGGAGACACTGAGGAGGAGTGTGAAAGTCTTGGGGGAAGTCTGGAGCTTTATGGAGAAAGTCCTTGGGATGGGAGTTGGCGTGGAGGTTGCAGAGTGTTGAACACAGAGTGAACACAGAGGGGGCCTGGAGGTTCCAGCAGAGAAGATGCCCCAAGACTCAGTATTGCAGTGAGGGGAAGGTGAAAATGTCCAGGCAAGAACAAGTGGAGGTTCAGAGGGGTCCGGAAGGCTGTGAGATTGGGGTGGGGGAGTTTTCTGAGACTTTGAGAGCAGAAGATGCCGCAGGAAGTGGGTGGAAAAAATAATCAGGAGATTCAAACTTGGAGAGAGAGGTCTTCTGGGAGAGGGGCCACAGGGTGAATCAGGGAGGTGCCGGGAGAGGCTGAGAGTTGAAGAGGGTGCCCTAGAGAGTCGGGAGAAGGGTGGGGAAGTGGGGGACAGTGTTCACAGGGCTTAGGAGACTTTGAGGGCTGAGAAGGGATGTCTTCTAAGGGCTTGGGGAAGGTCCAAGAAACCGAGGGCTGGACGGTGACCAAGAGTAGTGAGAAGAGATTTGCAGGGGCCCAGGAGACATGAGGGTTGGGGAGGGTCTCAGAGGAGCCCAGGAAAGGTGGGGACCGGGTTGTTCAGAGAAGCACGGGAGATTCACGGTCTGGAGGAAGTGTCTAAGGGTCTAGGCTGGTCTTGGCGGCGGGGCGGGGAGGGGGGGGCTTTGGAGGGGTCTGGAAGAGCCTGAAGGTTGGAGATCTGTCTTTGGAGGATCTGGGGGATGGCTGCGAGAGGGGGGTGTGTTCGGAGGAGCCCAGGAGACTCGACTGAGGAAGAGGCTTCCAGGAGGCTGAGAAGCCTAGAGAGACCCGGAGGGGTGGAGCCGGGGCGCTCCTGGGAGACTGGGGGCGCCTAGAGAGGCGGGGGTGGGGTAGATGGGGGCCCCGAGAGCGCGCTCACCCTGGCAGCCCGCGACGAGTAGGG